TAATATAATATAATATAATATAATATAATATAATATAATATAATATAATATAATATAATATAATATAATATAATATAATATAATAAATATAACATAATATAACATAATATAATATAATATAATTGACTTTATTTTTACTGAATAAGACGCGTTCAGTTTTCGTATTCTTTCTCGTTTTATTTACTTTTCAATAACAAAATACAATATGCCTTATTCAATGAACACGAAGTTAATAATGCCTGACACTTGTTGCTTGCCATAAGCAATTTAGAAAATTACGATGAGCCCAGAATCAGCTCCATCGTGACAAAAATGTGACTTACTGTATCTAGAATATTTATTGTTTTTCTTCAGCAATTTTAAAGCTATATATGCATAAAAACCGCAGTCTAATCGCGACAGTGATACTGATCGCCACGATGCGAATCTTCGTTAACTAATCCGCGCCACTACGAAGATTCCGGCACTCGTGTTCTGCATTCGAACAATTAAATCGCACCGAAGCGGACACCGGATTGCGGAAAAATAGCTGCTTCCAGCCCGATAGTAATATACAGAAACTGTTTGCGCTTGGGTTAGATTAACCCGGAACGATGCAGGATGGTTAACCACGCGCCTGCTAATCGATACGGCATAATTGGCACTGCGTATTTCTATACAGATACAGATTGTGCCAGATTAATTGACTACGATGCTCTTATTCGCGAGCGTTTCTTTATTCAACCGCGTCAAATTTTCCATTATATCTCGTCGAACGGAGGCGTAACGTAACATTCGCAATCTAATCGCGACGTATCGATTCACAAAATTGCCGGCTCGCGAATGTCAAAATTCAGATAACCGCTCGTACAGGCGAATTTTCGTGTCGCAAATTTGTTCTCTAATTGCGACGATATTTTGCCCGTAAATCGAACCTCTGACCAGCTTTTCGGGCGTTCGGTTTGCACGCGAGACCCCGCGGTTAACCGAGAATTTTCTATAGCATAAAAAACTAAATAACTGTGGAGCTACGCGAATTAACGCGCGTCCTGCGCGCGCGAATTTTCCCGTCAGCAATAAGTGGAAAATAACACGTTGACGCAAATATATTTTTTTCGCGATCGTTCCACCGCTTGTAATCTCATCGTTTTTCGTTTCCACCGTAAAGTTCATAAATTACTCCACGCGTATTTCAACGTTTCATAATCCACTCCCGTTAATTATTCTCTAATAAAATATTGATTTGAAACTAAACTCTATAGGAATTTCACTTCTACGTCTAATAATTATATTGCAGTACATTTGAATTCATAAAATCATGTCATGTCCGAAATGTCACAATTCAATTTTCCCCATATAAGCGTACAAATTATTGCTGTTCGTATTTCAATGTTTCATAATCTGCACTTATTAATTATACCTCGATAAAACGTTCATTTGACCTCAAGCACTCCAAAAATACTCCTCTGTGTTTAATAATCATATCGCAACACAATTAAACTCACGCAAACATGTTTCAATATCAAGTATCATTTCATTTTTGCAACATCTGCACAAATTCTGAATTCTGTATTTCAATGTTCCACTCGTTAATTATTCTTTAATAAAACATTTTTATCGGCCAAAATTCTTCAAGAATTCGCTTCCGGAATAAACAATAAAGAACACCGTTTAAAACCGATTTCAACCGGTACGATGAAATTCCATAATTCGTTTTATCTCTGGTTTTTAACGAAACAATCGTTCGAAAATTGCATCAACGTTGAATGTGCCTCTAACCTACCTATTTTCTGGTCGAATTGTGCGTGGTTGAAGTTCCGCTGGCCGGATGAAAGACAAACGGCGATTCCGTAAGCGCGCGGTTGAAATTTGAAAAACGCTCCGCGCCGTCATTAACGGCGCTCGCAATTATCAATTCATGGACAAAGGGAGCAGGACAGAGTTTATCCAGACGGACAACAGCGTAAACAAGCCACGAGAAAAGTTTACCGTGAAAGCAGGTCCAACGGCGTAACCGGGCGAACTTTATTTGCCTTGTAGAGGGACTGCCGGTAGAGGGATGAGGAAGGGGGAAAAATAGTAATTACGCCCGTGGACGGGGGTGGAAAAAAAGGTGCCCGCTCGTGGCAACAAGCATTCGGTCGGGGCGACCCCTCCGATCGAATATTTAACCCGGTCGCATTAATTTATTTATTCCGAGCCTGGGCGAACAGTCGCAAATACCGGTGTAATTAAAAGTATCTGATCAACCATCGGCCCTTGTAATTATCGCCGTGGAAAAAGCGGTCGGACGATTCGGAGAAAGAGAGAGAAAGAAAGAGAGAGAGAGAGAGAGAAAGAGAGAAGTAGCAGTCAAAATGACAGCGCGATAATTTTCTGCTCGCGGTAAATCGTTTCTTTCTCCTCTTTTTTCCGCTTTCTATCTTTGCCCGCTCGAATCGCGTTTGCGTCAACATTCCCGTAATGAAAAATCCCCGTGATGCCCTGCTGCTGTATTGACTCGATCGAACACCTTGAATATTTCGCGAAATAAGATTATCGTCGATTTTATTGCAACTGAAAAGTGTTATTGTTGAGTATTTATACTGCCATTCGATGGATCGACGTTTCCAGGTAACCTAATGAACTTCCAAATATATATTTAACACCAGATTTACGGAGCACAAGAAAACAGCTGATTTTATATTAGTTTATGGAAGTAACAATAAGACATTATTATTAATGTTATTGTAACATTTGACGTGAGCAACGTATAAATTGAATAAATAGGGGCCGAAAGAAGAAGGAAATGTTATATGAAGTTTGCGAATCAACGTTCTGTTGCAGAGATATAAACGAAAATGGATATTTTATTATTTTATTATTATTTTATCATAGTTTCAGTATTTCAATCGTACAATTTCTTTGCAAAATCCGTGGTTTAATTACGTAACTCGATGCATTGCCAAGGCAGAAGCCATATATGAACAAAGCGAACATCAACAACGCATTCAGGGCTTCGAAAATCTTGACACGTTGATGCTATTCATTCGATAATTGTCTAATTATTATCGCGTAACAACGCATCGATTTATTGAGGGTTCGACGATA